AAATCCTTTCTCCCTAAAAATCATGCAGATTTCTTATCTAAATCCAGCTATAAAGTTACAAGAAAATTGGAAATCTCCTTCATGATTTATTTTTACAATCTTATTTGTCTCATCCATTAAAAGAAAATTTCAGAGAAAAAATCAGAAATGTTCATTATTCCTACCAAAACAGGAATTTCTACAATCTAAATCCCGTGATTAAAGTGAAAATCTCCTTCATGATTTATTCTTACAATCTTATTTGTCTCATCCATAAAAAGAAAATTTAAGAGAAAAAAATCAGAAAAATCTCCCTCATGATTTATTTTGACAATCTTATTTGTCTCATACATAAAAAGAAAATTTAAGAGAAAAAATCAGAAATGTTCATTATTCCTACCAAAATAGGAATTTCGACAATGGTATATATTACATAGCTTACCCAGAAAAAAAGGGAAAAATTAGAAAAGGGTAGATAGAAAATTAAACAGTTTTTGAAGCAATACTGGATGACTTCATAATAAATAAAAAATATCAATATTTCATTTTAGAAATCATTATTCATCTGATTTCTCAGTTGGAGTATCGTCAGCTAGTAGTACTTTATCTTGCCATTTTGGATGGCCAATTTATTCCTTTGGACTCTCACCAGCAAAATGCTAATCCACAAGAAAACTCTTTAGTAATGGCTAACCCAGCACGAATGTATATCCTGTACAATAAACAGCTTCTATGAGTGCTTCCTTGAAGAGAGTTATACTATTAATATCATATCCTTATCTCAAGGATTTAGCATCTTAAAGATTCAATAGGTATGTAAAAAGGAATTACACCTTGTAGGCACCCCATTTTGGAATTGACAACTTCCTTGAAATTTTAAATCTCAAAGCATAGGAAATAACCCCTTAAATGCATAGTAAAAGCCCTAGATTAGCCATTTAAGCCCTAGGAACTACATCAGCCTAAAATACCGTAAGACACATCAAATCATAGTCATATTCAAACCATAGTCCAGCCCACAAATCCAAAAATTTCTCTAAAATCCCATGAAAAATTTTAGTATGATAAAAAATGATAGGTTTATAAGTTAAAGGGAATGATAATATATTGATACTGCCAAACCACATGAAATGTGATCCAATATAGCAATTTCCAATCATCAAAATCACAATACCCAGGAAATCTACGCCAAGCCGGTTGCTTGTCGCGCCGGGAATTGCAGCACGCCGTACATCAGATTTGCACCGCAAAATGTGGCGTGAACAACTGTCAGCCTCTGATTGGTGTGGCCAACCACCGCACCTACTTCTAGGTCATTTTTGTATATAAAAATCCTCATTCTTGATCCCAAGGGGAGAGGGCCGCACATTCTCAAGAAACCCTAATTCCTCTCTCTAGCCCAACCTTAACCCTAGTTTTTAGAAAACCCTGAGAATCTTAGAAACCTTAGTTTTCAGGAGCCATGGCCACCTACTTCAGAGAAAAAAAGCTTCCCCTTTTCATTACCTGAGGCATAAACCTTTAAGATCTTAGGTTCCTTTTCAAGCTATTTCATTCAAAGATCAAAGTCGATCATTCATTTTATCAAAAAGGAGTTCATTCAGTCAATCTAAGTTCTTATCAAGGCCTCTACTCTAGGTGCCGGGCCGTGATACCCAGCCGGCTCATAAGTTCCACTACTTTACCCTATTTTTTGATCTTTTAATTCCATTTTGTTAGTCTATTAGATCTTAGTTCATTTCCTAGAGTTTTATCATTCGTCTTGTGGCTTTGATGCGGTTTACAAGTTGGCCTGCTGATGATCCGAAGAGGGTTAGATCTCTTATGCAAGATCAGATCACCTTTGAATCGGATTCAACCTGACCCTATCTACCTAATCTCAGTTAACTCATGAAGAGCGGAATTTGTCCTGATCTAGTGCGAGGTCGGTCCCGAATCCAGCTGTACACAGACCTATTCAATTCCCAAATCAAAATTTGGAAGAATTTTGTGTATTAGCCTAGTTTTGCATTAGACCCTTTGTTTTCTGAATGACTACTATAGCTATCATCTAGTTACTACAGTAATCATAGGTTGTAATTATATAATCTCAACAACAAGAAGGACATTTCACTTTTTTTTAATTCTTTGATTGTTTTGCCCATGGTCTGCAAATATCAATGCAGTCAAAGCAACAAGCTAAACTACAAACAAGTATAGATATTCTGAGAGCCTTGCAATCTGAATGACTTCTTTTTTTTCATGTAATCGGTTATACAGCAATCACTACATTGTACAGTTCACAGTTTTTATGTTAGGAATGTGGAACACATGCTTCTACTAATGGGATAGTTTTGGGGCAGTTCTTGCATGCGTGACTGCTGTATAACTTAACTTAACTAAATTAAAAAAAAAAACGTACGTAGGGTAGGACGAAGGACACGACGAGGGGAAGTAGGA